TACTTTTGCCCGCGCTGTTTTCCGCGTGTCCATGTTCGAATTACTTCTGACACCAGTTGAAGTACCGGTGAGGACGCTTGACGCCGAGGTTGAGGCACACGTATATTTATTTCACAATACGACAGTGGGCATATACACACTCGAGGGGGTATCGGCCCCCTCACCCGTATAACTCGGGATACACCCCTAGCTAACTCTGTCCTAGCCCCGAATCCTCCACTAATGGGCTAGGGGAGGCTAACTGGCCCGACACTGGTAAGTCGGGGCCGGTACCCGGAGTTTCAGACCAGCTCTTACAAGAGCACCGGCTCTGGCTTTCGGGACCACGCCGCTGGCTCAGTCCTGTCCGGCCCTGAAAAGGACATCGAACTAGGGGAGTCCAGGGCTCTATCTAAGACGTCTTCAGTCTTCTTCCCTTAGCTTAAACATAACTGACTCGAGCCCTTTGAACATCCCCTTTTATACCCAACCCCTCCCTGAGGGGTGGGGCCCCGGGGGATCATAACGTTCGAACCAGCCCCCCCCCCAGGGTGTCTGGCTCGGACGTCGTAGAGGGCACCTCCTCGTGCACTTACGTAGCCCCGCCCACTGTGTTTGTTTTCCATAGGCTGCCATGCATAACGGGCCCTCTCTTTAACACCCCTACACTAGTATGCACTATGCTACTATATACTCTCCACTACTATACATAACACTACAGTATGCTATACAATACTACACACAACACTACTATATAACACACTTCTGTACACTACACTATACACTGCACTGCTATACACTACACCACTATACTACTGTAGTGTCATTGAATTGGAGACGAGGTTTGTAGGAGGCACCTTTGATTTAGAACATTCACGGTTTCGTCTGCACACTCTCTGCAGTCGCTTAGCCGACCTATACACAACACTAGCCGTCTATAACACAGATGGCGCTGACTGAGACAGCCAACTGCTATCTAGAAGCGCAATATCGAGCGAAGACGGTGGCGATGACGGCGACGAGACGACAGTAACGACGAGACAAATCCAATCCCAGAACCAGCAGCCTCGAGCTCCCGCTCTCGGCTCCTTTTATCCTACCAGCGCGGCCTGACTCAGCCCTGGCCGCGCCTCCCTTGTCGAACCCACTAGCAGGTTCCAGGGGCTTTCAGATGGGGTCCTTCGTGACCCTTTCCCCATTCCTACGGCTTGCCAACACACCCATGCACACGTTCACCAGCGTGTGTACTGTCTGTCCACCACAGTTGCCGCTGCTGTCCACCAGCCGACACTATTACACTATGCTACATTGAGAACTAATGGCTTTAGAACTCCTTGTTGTGTTTAGTTTGTTGTCCTTCCACCACCCACACCTCCGATTAGCTACGGTTGGCTACGTACGATTCGAAAGAAGTTCAACATACACAGATACACACATGCGCATACACGCCATTCATCACTAAGTGGAGGTGACGTCGCCACGGCACTTGTGCCAGGCTATGTGCACGTTAAGGCCTTAACCTACGCCCACACAAACACACAAACATATGCCGACACAACAGAAAATAAAGACAAATATCCCCCATATAACCTGTAACAGACTGTTGGTGCAAGTGCTGTCTAGCAAGAACCTTTGAAGGCCGGCATGGCACGTGAGGGGGTCGGTGGCTAGCACCACGCCCGACCACCTTTGTCTTCCTAGTGGCGATGTTTACTACACACCGCACCAGGAAACGTATTTGAGGCTGAGTCGACTGAGAGGAGGCCCTGGACCGATTCAGATAACACTGGTCTACAATTTTTTAGACGTCATCTGCTTCAGAGATGAAATGTGCTGTTTATTATCGATGTTTACGTGCTTAATTCAAATATGACAATTAAAACAACTGATTGGTTTCTGTTCCCAAGATATTCAAGTTTTTACATTTTTAGTCTTTGTATATTGTGTAGATAATAGAGTTTGACTCATAAATTGTAAACATAGGTCTTTTCATGTGTTTATCGTTGCTTTACATGATAACATGTCACTTTTACTTTTTCATGTAACACTTTAAAAATCATCAAAATGGTTAAAAAATGAAAGGTATTATGAAACAAAAGGCAAAAAACTACTATCAAACCTTAGTAATTGGCTGTGTCGGTTGGTGGCGGGTTTAACGATACATTTACAGTGAGGGAAAAAAGTATTTGATCCCCTGATGATTTTGTACGTTTGCCCGCTGACAAAGAAATGATCAGTCTATAATTTTAATGGTAGGTTTTTTTGAACAGTGAGAGACAGAATAACAACAAAAACATCCAGAAAAACGCATGTCAAAAATGTTATAAATTGATTTGGATTTTAACGAGGGAAATAAGTATTTAACCCCTCTGCAAAACATGACTTAGTACTTGGTGGCAAAACCCTTGTTGGCAATCACAGAGGTCAGACGTTTCTTGTAGTTGGCCACCAGGTTCGCACAAATCTCAGGAGGGATTTTGTCCCACTCCCCTTTGCAGATCTTCTCCAAGTCATTAAGGTTTCGAGGCTGACGTTTGGCAACTCGAACCTTCAGCTCCCTCCACAGATTTTCTATAGGATTAAGGTCTGGAGACTGGCTAGGCCACTCCAGGACCTTAATATGCTTCTTCTTGAGCCACTCCTTTGTTGCCTTGACCGTGTGTTTTGGGTCATTGTCATGCTGGAATACCCATCCACGACCCATTTTCAATGCCCTGGCTGAGGGAAGGAGGTTCTCACCCAAGATTTGACGGTACATGGCCCCGTCCATCGTCCCTTTGATGCAGTGAAGTTGTCCTGTCCCCTTAGCAGAAAAACATCCCCAAAGCATAATGTTTCCACCTCCATGTTTGACGGTGGGGATGGTGTTCTTGGGGTCATAGGCAGCATTCCTCTTCTTCCAAACACGGCGAGTTGAGTTGATGCCAAAGAGCTCCATTTTGGTCTCATCTGACCACAACATTTTCATCCAGTTGTCCTCTGAATCATTCAGATGTTCATTGGCAAACTTCAGACGGGCATGTATATGTGCTTTCTTGAGCAGGGGGACCTTGCGGGCGCTGCATGATTTCAGTCCTTCACGGCGTAGTGTGTTACCAACTGTTTTCTTCGTGACTATGGTCCCAGCTGCCTTGAGATCATTGACAAGATCCTCCCGTGTAGTTCTGGGCTGATTCCTCACCGTTCTCATGATCATTGCAACTCCACGAGGTGAGATCTTGCATGGAGCCCCAGGCCGAGGGAGATTGACAGTTTATTTGTGTTTCTTCCATTTGCGAATAATCGCACCAACTGTTATCACCTTAATTCTAGATTTGAAGCTTTCGTGACTGCAAGGATTCATATTCTTAGGTTTTTTCGGTAAAGTCACGTAGGTAAAACATCAAAATTAATGAAAATAAAATAAAAATCACGACGTTTCGGAGGCAACACAAGTCTCCGTCATCAGGTGGGACCGTCACAGCCGGATTAGCTGCATCAAGTGAGGCAATGATTCAAGATGTAATCCCTTAAAAGCCAGTTGAGGGGGGAGGAGAGGGGGGGGGGAGCTCATCAGAATGTGGTAGCCAATGAATGGAACGTATCGGGAGGGAGGGGGGCGGGGCTCAAAGACGGCACGGAGTGCGACGTACATCGCATCGGGAGGGGGAGGGGGGCGGGGCCAAAAGGATGGACGACGGCTTGGACGCGGTTGCTGCTGCACACGCCAACGCATGATATCATGTGCATCAGGCCTCCCCTCCCCCTCTCTGTCCAATGCATTGGCGTGTGCAGCAGCAACCGCGTCCAAGCCGTCATCCATCCTTTTGGCCCCGCCCCCTCCCCCTCCCGATGCGTTGTACGTGGCACTCCGTGCCGTCTTTGAGCCCCGCCCCCCTCCCTCCCGATACGTTCCATTCATTGGCTACCACATTCTGATGAGCTCCCCCCCCTCTCCTCCCCCCTCAACTGGCTTTTAAGGGATTACATCTTGAATCATTGCCTCACTTGATGCAGCTAATCCGGCTGTGACGGTCCCACCTGATGACGGAGACTTGTGTTGCCTCCGAAACGTCGTGATTATTTTATTTTCATTAATTTTGATGTTTTACCTACGTGACTTTACCGAAAAAACCTAAGAATATGTTGTCACCTTCTCACCAAGCTGCTTGGCGATGGTCTTGTAGCCCATTCCAGCCTTGTGTAGGTCTACAATCTTGTCCCTGACATCCTTGGAGAGCTCTTTGGTCTTGGCCATGGTGGAGAGTTTGGAATCTGATTGATTGATTGCTTCTGTGAACAGGTGTCTTTTATACAGGTAACAAGCTGAGATTAGGAGCACTCCCTTTAAGAGTGTGCTCCTAATCTCGGCTCGTTACCTGTATAAAAGACACATGGGAGCCAAAAATCTTTCTGTTTGAGAGGGGGTCAAATACTTACTTCCATTATTAAAATGCAAATCAATTTATAACATTTTTGACATGCGTTTTTCTGGATGTTGTTGTTGTTATTCTGTCTCTCACTGTTCAAATAAACATGCCATTAAAATTATAGACTGATAATTTCTTTGTCAGTGGGGAAACGTACAAAATCAGCAGGGGATCAAATACTTTTTTCCCTCACTGTATATATTTATGAGATCTAACCTTAACAACCTGTATTATGGATGATATTGGTCGTGAAAGCCTACGTGTTAAACTGACTATACAATGCACTATACACTACTATACAGTATACTACTATACACTACACTGTACACGACACTACTATACACTACACTGTACACTACACGACTATACACTATACTATACACTACACTAAACACGACACTATACACTACACTACTATATTACTATACACTACACTATACACTACGCGACTATATACTACACTACACTGAACACTACACTATACACTCCACTATGCACAGGCTGCAAGGAAAGGTTTAAGAACCACCGGTCTGAATTAATTATTCCTCCTACAGTATGAAATAAGTCGAACCGATTCTTGCCGTGTCTTTTCCTTTGTTGCTTTCGGGACAGGCGATGCGGTGGAGCATTTCCCGTCGTGGCCACCGACTGTCAAGCGAGAGGCTGGCGGACACGAGGCCGGGGCTGAGACGCGGCCACGCGTGAAGGTGGAGCCACGAGAGTCGCACGACGGTGAGTGGACAACTGTGGAGTGGAATCTCTGTGGTGGAGTGGAATCTCTGGAGCGGAATCTCTGTGGAGTGGAATCTCTGGAGTGGAATCTCTGTGGAATGGAATCTGTGTGGAATGGAATCTGTGGAATGGAATCTGTGGAGTGGATATTTGTGGAGTGGAATCTCTGGAGTGGAATCTTTGTGGAGTGGAATCTCTGTGGAGTGGAATCTGCGTGTATTGGTATCTCTGTGGAGTGGAATCTCTGTGGAATGGAATCTCTGTGGAATGGAATCTGTGGAGTGGATCTCTGTGGAATGGATCTCTGTGGAGTGTATTTTGTGGAGTGGATCTCTGGAGTGGATATCTGTGGAGTGGAATTTGTGAAGTGTAATCTGTGGAGTGGAATATCTGTGGAGTGGATTTTTGTGGAGTAGAATCTGTGGAGTGGAATCTGTGGAGTGGAATCTGTGGAGTGGAATCTGTGGAGTGGAATCTGTGGAGTGGAATCTCTGTGGAGTGGAATCTGTGGAGTAGAATCTCTGTGGAGTGGATCTCTGTGGAGTGGAATCTCTGTGGAGACCCACAGGGACCCATAGCGACCCACGGAGGCCCCCAAAAACACACTGAAACCCATAGAGACCCATCCTTAACTCCCCTTTCCTCTTGTCCGAGACGTCTGCTAGTCAGTGACTTCAATGTCCGAGTTGGTCATGATGATGGCACCTGGTTGGAGTGATTGGAAGGCATGGGCCAGATCAGCTCAATAACAATGGTAACAGGCTGTTACATTTTTGTGCTGCCCATGGGCTTGTAATTACCAACACGCTGTTCCGGCATCGGCGCATCCACACAACATCATGGATGCATGCCGGGTCCAAGCAAGAACATCTGCTGGACTACATAGTGACGGACCAGCGGATGCGAGCCCATGTCCTTGACACCAGGACCTACCGTGGAGCTAATCTGCCCTTTGACCATCGACTTGTCATCTGTAAGATGCACCTGCCATTCTTCCACTCCGGTGGTGGGTGTACACCCAGGACCCCATTTCAACCTAAGGTGGCCTGGTCTCAGCTAGCTGATGGAAGTTACGAGCGAGAATTTCATCATCGCTTGCGGCTGGGGTTAGCATTGTCCCCCACTTCCCCTGATGTCGAGGGTAAATGGGCGAGATTTAGGACTGTGACACATGCAGCTGCAATGGCTGCTTTGGGTACGCGGACCAGACCTCCCCAGAGACTCTGGCTGACATAGGTGTTCGGGATGGTTGAGAAAAAGCGACAGGCCCACTATAGTCGTGTACAGCATCCCACGTCAGAGAATGAGGAGGCTTACCGAAGCCTTCGCACGGAGGTTTGGAGAGCTGTGAGGTGCTGCAAGGATTGGTGGTGGTCGTGGTTTGCTGAGGAGATGGAGTCTGCCTCAATGGCCCACGATCAAATATCCCTATTTACCTCCATCAAAAAAGTAACCTGCAGCGCCACACCTATTACCATCATTAAGGGAAAGAACGGTGATCCAATCTCAGACCCCCAGGAACAGGTTTGCAGATTTGCTGAGCATATCTGTGAGGTCCTGGGGGAGGGGAAATCCCTCAGCCTGGAAAACATCATGGGACAAAGTGGGGATGACCCTGCTGAGGCTACGGTGCCTCAAATATTGGAGGAGGAAGTCACCCCCTGTGAGTGGCTGGCTGAGGTGCCATCTGTTGAGGAAGTACTAAGGGCGACCCAGAGTTTGAGACCAGGAAAGGCACCGGGCAGAGATGATCTCCCAAGTGAAATGCTGAGGGAGGGTGGCGTTTGTACACAGATTGCCCTACAGGACATCATAAACAGTCCGGGCCACTAGACGGGTTCTGCAGGATTGGAAGGACGCCCTGGTGGTCCCCCTCTTTAAGAAGGGGAACCGCACATACTGTAACAACTACAGGGGCACCTCAGTGTGCCGGGTAAGGTCCTGGCAAGGATTATTCAACATCGCCTTGCCAGGCACGCTGAGGAGAGGCTTGCGGAGCCCCAATGTGGTTTCAGGAAAGGGCGGTCCTGCACAGATGCCATATTTTCTGTCTGTCTGCTACAGCAGAGGTGTAGGGAATTCCAACAAGACCTACATCTCTGCTTTATTGATCTGGTCAAGGCCTATGATGCCATCAGTAGGCCTGGGCTCTGGGTTGTTCTTTGTGCTTTCGGAGTCCCTGACCCTCTGCTCACGCTCATTAAGGACGTTCATGACGGTGAGCAGGCCCAGGTAAAACTACATGGCCGGGAGTCAGAGCCATTCCTTGTACACCTTGGGGTGCGACGGGGATGTCCTCTGGTTCCCACATTATTTAACATCTATTTCGACCACTTAGTTCCTGAAGCCTTCAGTAGCTGTACCAGAGGAATTTCCATCTGGTGCAGATACAATAGGAGGCTGATCGATGCCCGGGTACGGTCAAGGGATGGCTCTCTCTTGGTCAACCACGTTATGTATGCCAATGACCTGGTAATTGTGGCTCACTCAGAGGAGGAGTTGGAGGTGCTGCTGCTGAAACTGGAGTATGCCACTAAGAGGTGGGACCTTACCATCACCCCCACCAAAACGAAGCACCTGCCTGGGTATTTTGTACCATCGGGCACTCCACCCCCACAACTCCCAATCGGTGATGGGGCATTTGTGGAGAGAGTGGAGAGATCCTCAAACCTGGGTGTGTGCTCATGACCGGCTCCGGTTTAACAGCAGAGGTCTCACTCTGAATCAGTCGAATGGCATTATCTTTTCATCAGTTGCGTAACGCTGTGTGGAAGCTACCTGGTCTGTCGCTCCGCACGAAGCTTCGGGTCTTCTCAGCCACAGTCATTCCATCCCTTCTCTATGCTTGCGAAACGTAGACCTCCCTAATAGAACATCTTCACTGGTTAGAAATATTTAGGCTGGCCTGCCTACGATCAATCCTGGGTTTAACTCGGCTGGATTGTGTGAGGAGCTCACAAATCCTCGAAAGATCTGGACAAAGTCCCATTGGTGGGCTACTATGGCAGGCAAGACTGCATTGTCTGGGCTATGTAGCCCGCATTCCCAATCACCGCATGCCCAAACAGCTTTTGTTCGGCCAGATTGAGGGGGCTAAACGGGCGCGACATGGGCTAGAGAAGAGGGAGTGATGTGGTACAGGAGGATGTGGAGCTGAGTGGACTTGCCGATGACTGGTACCAGCGGTGTACAGATCGGCCTCTGTGGAGGAGGCTCGTGAAGGATGCTACTGGGCAGTTGGAGGCAGTCGCCCTCTAACAACAACGGAGGGCGTAGGAGCGACGCTCACAACAACGAGCAGAGCGCCGGGTGGCTAAAGCACAGAAAGTTGGCACAGTAGGGGGTACAGGTGGTGCATCAACCAGTCATCTCAGTCAGTCAAACCGTGGCACCTGGGTCTGCCCCGTGACTTCCTGCCAGCGAGCGCTCGACACTTCACGTGGCCTCAAGGTGCACATAGCCTGGCACAAGCGTCGTAGTGACGTCACCGCCACTTAGTGGCGAATAGCGGTTGTTGTTGTTGTAAGTGTGTGTAGGTCGATGTGTGTGTCTGTCTTTTTCGCCCGGGCAACACCGGGTACTTCCTGCTAGTGTATATATAAGTACATATTTTAGTCCTTATTCAGTGTCTACTCGACGCTTCTTGGCTTGTCTCTTGTAGTCATTAAATTGAGCATCTCTTCACTGTCCAGCAATAGTCTGCAAGCATTGATGGGCTCGATTTTCCCTGATAGCGTTTCTCCATTGTTGAAATGTCTTTAACAATTTCCTTTTTCTGTTCAACCACTGGTGAAGATTTGTTGCACAAGTGTTGCAGCACATGTGTATGGCTCCCATCCTGTCCTGATCTCCAAATTTGCAGCCAAAATAAAGGTTCTAGATTTGAAGCTTTCGTGACTGCAAGGATTCATACTCTTAGGTTCTTTCGGTAAAGTCACGTAGGTAAAAATAATAATAATAAAAAATAAATAAATGAAAATAACTCAATTCAATCACGACGTTTCGGAAGCAACACAAGCCTCCGTCATCAGTTGTAACTGCTCCAGTAAAATTACTGTAGCGTGTGAAGAAAGCTATTCAAGACACGTTTTTTTTAATATATAGGGTGCTGGGCAGGGAGGAGCCAATGAGTGGGGGGGAGATAACCATCTCGGTGCTTGTACACTGCAAGTACGGTGCTTGTACACTGCAAGTACGGTGCTTGTACACTGCAAGTACGGTGCTTGTACACTGCATGTATGGTACTTGTACACTGCATGTACGGCTCCTCCCTGCCCAGCACCCTATATATAAAAAATACGTGTCTTGAATAGCTTTCTTCACACGCTACAGTAATTTTACTGGAGCAGTTTCACCTGATGACAGAGGCTTGTGTTGCTTCCGAAACGTCGTGATTTAATTTAGTTATTTTCTTTTTATTCTTTGAACCTACGTGACTTTACCGAAAGAACCTAAGAGTACAAAATAAAGGTGATAGGCTTTCTTAACCATCATGGTTATACTGTGCTTTTGTGATGCACTTCACCACAAACATAACAGAAGTTATCTGCTTTGTTCACACAAGTACGAGGCATCTCTGCTCACTTTGGCTAAACAGAAATGTGTCCCTTTGCAAAATCAAATACTGACAAATAAGAGAGCACCACACTGTATGATTTCTAGAGCTGATATAGGGCATCTTTTTCAGCAGAGGGATGTAAGCCTAGTTATGATTACATCATCCATGACTTCTAGGAATATCATGATGCAATTCATATAATGTATGATGCAATACCAGGTTCAGATTGCATCATTCATCATTTTGCTCAAAAAGCAATTACTGTCCAAACCCAGTCATAGATTTATTCATAGATTCAGTCAAATTTGTATTTTAGTAATTTCTGGTTTAAATTGAGATCCCTTCCCTTTGTAATGTTCTTGAAGGAGACGGAGACTTCTTAGAGGCCATACGCTTTTATTCACCATTACTTACTACACCTAACACAAGGGGTATACGGTCCCCTTACCCGTTATCCTGAGGAGTTACAGACTCCGGACTTGCCGGCTATCTCCCCCACTAGCCTAGTATCCTCCGGCTGGGACCTAGGGGAGGCACACTGACCCGCCGCTGGCCCGGCGGGTCCCCGACCTCTGGTCCCTCAAGACCTTCGCCCTCACAAGGGCGGGAAGGCTGGGAGCCAGGGTCCTATCCAGGACCTATCTCCCCTGACCACTGGTTACACTGAGCCCCAGCCCTGACAAGGGCTGGAAGGCTTGGTCCAGGGTCCTAGCTGTCTTCGGCCGACTTGGGTCTTCGTGTAGCAGAACTAACCAAGAGCTCTCAGCGCTCCGGCTTTTATACCTGTTCGTGGCCGGGTTAACCAATCCCCGGCCACCTCTTGGACCCCTCCGATTGGTCCTTTCCAATCTGGCGTTTGGATCCTACCTCACCCCATTTGACCCTAACTGTTTGATTGAGCGGGAGAACCTTGTTTACCAACTGCTCTCTCACAGCTTGCGAACAGCGAGTAGTTATCACCACTACACCTTTATAACTCACTTATTCTCGACCATTCCCAAGTCAAGGATCGTATATACTGACCCAGTAGCATATCTTGAAAACTAGAGCCAATCAACAATTTCTAGCATCATTTTCATTCTCAGTGAACCAGAATTAGTAAAGTTGGACTACATTTATTTCGGAAGCATTTTGGCTGTAGACCAGTGTAATTGTCGCTGGTGTTGGCCGTGAGTGGGAATCCACCTCGGGTCACCAGGTTTATAGTGCAGCGTAGTGCTGACTGCTACGCTACCCTCTGGGGTATGTTTCCGCAGAGCTGAACATTCATGAGGATGTTTTTCATATTGTTCACCCCCTCTTCCCCCCCCAGTTCTAGGAGCTCACGTTCAGATTAAAGAAGAGGACCTTCTGGGTGAACACCGTGACCTTCACATTAAACAGGAGAAGGAGGAGGTGGTGGAGGTGAAGGTTGAGGGTGACGATGAAGACGATGAAGAAGAAGAGGAGGAGGCTTTGGACGACCGCATGCGGCGCGACAAATCCTTTCCATGGCCTGGAGAGCCGTTAGCGTCCTGTCGGGAGCTGGCGGCTTCGTCAGATGTGGCGGAGATCGAAGTGACCTTGGAAGAGGAGGAGGACGGCAATGGTGTTGGTGCTGGTGGTGGTAAGGAGCGAGTGTGAGTCTGTGTGTGTTTGTGTGTGGGGGAGCGGTAGTGTAGCGGTTTGCGTGCTGCGCTTACATTTAAAAAACTACATGTGTAACGGGTCCCGAGACACTTGTAGATGTAACTTCTTTATTACAATACAACACTCCAACAGTACTCCAACTCTCCAACAGTCCTGCTACTCTGTTACAGCCTAGGTACACAGCCTAGCTACACAGCCTAGATACTCTACTCTGGCTACGCTCCGGAACTCGCCCTCACAAGGTCGTAGAGTCGGGAGTTCCAGAGTCCCAGCACTGGCTCTCACAGCATCCCAGGGTCTTCAGATGACTGGTCGTGGGTCTTGGGTCTTGAGTTACAACTGGGCCCTGATCGTCCAGGGAGCTCTCCTTTTATGCCTGGTCCAACGAGGGGTGGGGCCGTGTGCGCCACCAGACATCCCACAGAGCACACACAGCCCCCCCCCCCCCCCGTTGGTGGCGCCAAAAAGGCTTAAGCGCCTGGGAACCCAACGCCTGGCGCCCAGAGGCTTAATAGTCTGGACCCCCTGGGAACCCAGCGCCTGGCGCCCAGAGCCCCCAGCAGCCCCTCCCTTCTTATGTCACTACACATGTAAGCACTCTGTATATACACTTGGCTTTTTGGCAGAACTCATCGGGCTACTTTTTGCAGCCCTTGGTCTGTTACAGGTCAGTGTGTAGTAGGTTAAACGTTCCACTATATACAGGCCAAGGTATACAACACTCGAAGGGGTATCGGCCCCTTCACCCGTCTAACAGGGAGATCCCACAATCTCTATCCCAGCTAGCCTACTCCCAGGTCCTCCACTACAGAGCTAGGGGAGGCTAGCTGACCAGCTCTGGCCAAGCTGGGATTACGGCACCCTGAGTCCCCAGACCGTCTTTTACAAGAACATCAGTTCTGGGCTCTCGGGGCCATGCCACTGGCTTGCCCTGGTCGGTCCTTAGAAGGACGGCGATCCCCTGTACTAAACCTTTAAATTGTTATTTTAAAAAAATCAGGAGGGGTTTCGGCGTCTCGAGATGGCAAGCGGTGGTTTTCACGTCGCATCCAAAAATACATGGTTTTCAAAAAACATGTTAACACTTGTATAGGACTATCGTTTTTAATGGGAAAAGAATGGATAATACACCGTAACATGATAACAAATGTATGTTAATATCTTCAAAAAGTCAGAGTCTCCACTTGTTCGCTATCATTGTCAACACATGCCTAGAATATTCTCCAGGTAGTCTCCAGAGCTCGGAGGAACATTTCTCATGGTATTTTTGCAAATTCTAAAAAGTGTAAAATAAAAATTTGTCAATTTCTATTTGTGTGATACAGCGACACTGCTGGAAGGCGAACAGCAGCAGGGGCTCTCGGCCACAGTTCGCGGCAAGGCGCTCCTCAACAAGAAACTTCAATTGCCAGCGCAGGGCAGCAGCAACTGCAAGGGGTTAAAATGCTCATCGGAACCGAAGCGCCACGCGAGGGCTCTCACTGGCGAGAGGCCGCACATCTGCGGCGTGTGCGGAAAGGGCTTCGCCGCGTCGTCGAACCTCAGGAGCCACGCGAGGGTCCACACGGGCGACAGGCCGCACGCATGCCCTGTGTGCGGCGCGGCTTTCGCCCGCCCGTGGGACCTCAGGGGCCACGCAAGAATGCACACGGGCGAGAGGCCGCACGTCTGTGCCGTGTGTGGCAAGGGCTTCGCGCTGTCGTCGAACCTCAGGTGCCACATGAGGATCCACACCGGCGACAGGCCGCACGAGTGTGCCGTGTGTGGCAAGGGCTTCATCCGCCCTTCGGCCCTGGCCAACCACGTGAGGACGCACACGGGCGAGAGGCCGCACGTCTGCCCAGAGTGCGGGATGGCATTTTTCCACGCCTACGTCCTCAGGAGCCACGCGATAATCCACACGGGGGAGCACCCGTACCAGTGCTTGGTGTGCGGCAAGGCCTTCGCACGCCCGTCGAATCTCAGAAGCCACGCGAAGATCCACACCCGGGCGGGAGAGAAGCCTCCACAAGTGTCGTGAGTGCGGGGAAGGCTTTTTTAGTTTCGACCCGTCGAATCTCAGAAACCATACAAAGATCAACACTTGGGTGGGGCAAAACCCCAATAAGTGTCGTGGGTGCGGGGAAGGATTTTTTGTGCGCCCCGTGGGATCTCAGAAGCCACGCGAAGATTAACACCCGGGTGGGAGAGGAGCCCTGCACAATTGTTGTGAGAACCACAGGGCCTCTGTGCCCCCCGTGGGATCTCTGAGCTACTACATAGCTCTTTTTCAGATGCGACCTGGATGTCACAAATTATAGCTCAATGAAGTGGCTGATCAACGTATGGAAATTTATACCAGTAGCCAAATACTCTAAAACGCACGTTATTGTATGTGGAGGGAAAACTCCAAGAACACAGGCGTCAGGGTCGGGATCAAACCCATGACCTCCTGTATACAAGGCGAGGTAGTTGACATCTCCTAACCACGACGTCGCACTCAGATCACTGGTTGAACACAAGGTACATGAGCTAAATTATTGAAACAAAACTCGGAGCAGATGTTTCAAGATTCACAAATTATATAAAAATAAGTATTTAAAATATTAGAACAACTTAAGATGCACGATTGTATAAATTGGTATACATTGCAAAACGTAATCATTGTGAATAATGTAAACATTTAACTGAACCAGATAAGAAGGTACAAATAAAAATCATCCAGTATTTATTGCATGAAATAATTACGATTATTTACGATTATTTCATGAAGGTATGCCATTAATTTGAACGCAAGTAAAAGTGTCGCTTTAATCAGAATGGTAATAAACTCACATTTTGAATCAATCGTGAGACTGAAATATGTTTTATTAACTGTTTTATTTTGACAGGTAGGGCCCACTTTGCAGAAGCGATCTGGCTATCACAAATGATAACTCAATGAAGTGGCTTTTCATTTGAAAATGTATAGCAGCCAAATACTTGGATTTTTTTTTAATGTGGAGCTAAAAACTGGAGGACCCAGAGAAAATTCCACACGACCACGGGGAGAACACACACACTCCAAATATACAGCAGGCGTCATGGTTGGGAGTGAACCCACAACCTTCTGTATACCAGGCGAGGTAGTTAACATCTCGCCATCATGATGCCACCGTATAGGACCGCCTTGGCTGTGAACCAAGAAACACCGCTGTCAATTGCCTGAACAATACAAGCAACATGCAACGCGTCTTCATCAACGTCCTCATTTTGACAACGAAGCAATTTCGGGCCAGAGTGTGTTGCCCCTCGTAGTGGGTGGCATGATCACTGCCTAAAGCAGGCCCCTAGTGCCACGCACACTTGGCCAGTCTGTACTTTCTCCGGTTTTTTCGTGGCCTCAGGTGGTGCGTGCCATGGCCATTTTGGGCCGTGCCTCGTCTCACCTAATAGACGGGGAACTACTTTGTTGATAATACGAATTTACACGGCAGTGGTCCCGTTGCATGCGACGTAAGCACAGCCTCAAGTCGGCCTCTTGCGCTGCACCCACGGCGAATCTGTACTTCCCCCCACTCTTTCGCGGCCTTTAGCAGTGTGTGGAGTGCTCATATCAGGCCATGCCTGATCTCGCTTGACAGGGGGGGAACCGCTCCATTTACGATGTGAATTATATGGCGGTAGCCCATCCGAGAGCGGCGTAACAGCCTAAATTAGGCCCCTTGTATCACACACACACGCAGCAAATCTGTACTTCTCCCGCTCTTTCGTGGCCTGATAAGAGGGGGAGCCGCTCTGTTCATGATACAAATTACATGGTGGTGGTCCATCTGCGCGTGGTGTGCACACGGCCGCACTAACAGTGATATTGCACTTTACCTGCTCTTTTGTGACCTCTAGCGGTGCGTAGCATAGTTATATCTGTAGGACTTGAAATATCACGCGCCACGCGTTCTGTTGCTAGGCGAGCGAGCAGAGTACAGTGGGAGCATCTGAGGACACGGTTGTTGTCGTGGCATTAAGGGGGGGGGTCGTTAAGAGACACGACAGGTGTTAGGGGTGACTGAGGACGCAGGCCGGTGATTGGTCAGGAGGGTGAGTGGCTAATGACCGGCGCCGGCCTGGCTGCAATAACATGGTCACGTGAGGATGGGGGCCTGGGGGCGAGTAGCAAAGCAGGGGATGAGATCATTGATTGGGACTGATTGGTGCGGGGATAAAGGGCACAGCGTAATGGAGAGACGAGAGTCTTGGTTGGTGTTGGAGTTGGAGTGGTTGGTGCCCGGGACAGAGACGGAGCAGCAGGGAGCAGGAATAGATATGATAAGAGTGGATAGAGAGAACACAGTGTACGGTTAGCAGTGGATAGAGAGAACACAGTGTACGGTAGCAGTGGATAGAGAGAACACAGTGTACGGTAGCAGTGGATAGAGAGAATACAGTGTACGGTAGGAACGGGGAGACATGGAGTGTTGTTAATGGCGGGTTGTGCATCGGAGCGAACGGAGAGACACGGAGCGATGATGAGGAGGAGGTGTGAACTCTAAGCGTGAATAAACGAGACGAGAAAGACAATGAGAGTACGAGTCCTACATATCGGACCGTGCCTGGTGTTTTACTGATCGAGGGGAAACCGCTGTGTTTACGATGTGAATTATACAGCGGTGCCCTGTATGAGAGCGACGTGAGTACGGCTTAAAGTGGGCCCCTCACACCATAGTTACGGCGAACCCGTACTTCCTCCGCTCTTACGCGGCCTCTCGCGGCACGTGGTGTACTCCTATCGGGCCGTGCCTGACCTCGCCTGAAAGAGAAGGAACCACTCTGTTTACGATATAAATTACACGGCGGTGGCCTGTCTGAGAGCGGCATCAGTAACAGCCTAAATCAGGCCCCTCATGCCACATACACCACTCCCCCCCCCCCCTCGGGTACCCTCTCCACCCGAGGCTGACGCGGCTTTCCCACGGCTAAGGGAGACAGCTCTTCAGGGGTGAAGACCCCTGCGTCACGCCTTGCTGGCAGCGAGGGAAGGTTTTCCAAACCGAGGGCCTCCCGTTCGGGCCAAGCTCTTTTAAAAAAATAGCTACTCTGCTTAACAACAGCACTCACTCGGTCAACAACAACAACCGCCATTCGCCACTAAGTGGCAGTAGTGTTACCACGATTCTTGTGCCAGGCTAAGTGCACCTTGAGGCTATGTGAAGTGTCGAACGCCCACTGGCACGAAGGTCACGGGGCAGACCCAGATGCCACAGGTCGACTGACTGAGATGAGTGGCTGATGCACCACCTGTGCCCCCTACTGTGCCAACTTGCTGTGCTTTAGCCACCCGGCGCTCTGCTCATTGTTGTGAGCGTCGCGCCTCTGCCCTCCATTGTAAATGGAGAGCGACGACCTCCAACTGCCCAGTAGCATCCATCATGAGCCTCCTCCACAGAGGCCGATCTTGACACCGCTGGTACCAGTCATCAGCAAGTCCACTCAGCTCCACATCCTCCTGTACCACATCACTCCATCTCTTCTCTAGCCCATGCCACGCCCGTTTAGCCCCCTCAATCCGGCCAAGCAAAAGCTGTTTAGGCACGCGGTGCCTGGGCATGTGGGCTACATGGCCCAGCCAACGCGGCCTTGCCTGCCGTAGGAGCTCATCGATGGGACTTTGTCCAGATCTTTCAAGAATTTGTGAGCTCCTTACACAATCCAGCCTGGTTAAACCCAGGATGGATCGTAGGCAGGCCAGCCGAAATGTTTCTAACCGGCGAAGATGTTCCATTAGGGGGGTCCACGTTTCGCAAGTGTAGAGAAGGGAGGGATGACCGTGGCCGTGAAGACCTGAAGCTTCGTGCGGAGCGAGAGACCAGGTAGCTTCCACACAGCGTTACGCAACCAATGAAACGATAATGCCGCTCCACTGATTTGGAGTGAGACCTCTGCTGTTAAGCCGGAGCCGGTCATGAGCACACTGCCCAGGTATGGGAAACTCTCCACTCTCTCCACAACTGCCCTATCACCAATTGGGAGTTGTGGGGGTGGAGTGTCCGATGGTACAAAATACCCAGGCAGGTGCTTCGTTTTGGTGGGGGTGATGTAAGGCCCCACCTCTTAGTGTCACACTTCAGTTTCAGCACCAACGCCTCCAACCCCTCCTCTGAGTGAGCCGCAATTACCAGGTCATCGGCATACATAACGTGGTTGACCAGGAGGGAGCCATCCCTTCACCACACCGGGGCATCGTTCAGCCTCCCATTGTATCTGTACCAGATGGAAATTCCTCCGGTACAGCTACTGAAGGCTTCATGAACTACGTGGTCGAAATAGATGTTAAATAATGTTGGAGCCAGAGGACATCCCTGTCGCACTCCAAGGTATACAGGGAATGGCTCTGACTCCCGGCCATGTAGTTTTACCCGGGCCTGCTCACTGATGAGTTTGAGCAGAGGGTCAGGTACTCCGAAAGCACAAAGATCAACCCAGAGCCCAGGCCTACTGATGGTATCATAGGCCTTGACCAAGTCAATAAAGCATAGATGTAGGTCTTGTTGGAATTCCCTACACCTCTGCTGTAGCAGACGGATAGAAAATATGGCATCTGTGCAGGACCGACCTTTCCTGAAACCGCATTGGGGCTCCGCAAGCCTCTCAGCGTGCCTAGCAAGGCAATGTTGAATAATCCTTGCCAGGATTTTTCCCAGCACACTGCGGGGTGAGATGCCCCTGTAGTTGTTACAGTCTGTGGGGTACCCCTTCTTAAAGAGGGGGACCACCAGGACATCCTTATGTAGTGGGCTCAAATAGGCGCACACACTTCTTGGGAGGCAACACTATTAACACCAACACGTTCTATCACATAGGGTGGAAACCACCGTCCTACTGTAGCTAACACACACACTTCTCTAGCACTGACTCTCAGATACTCTAGCGTGACCCAGCCAGGTGGGCTACTGGCGGGTCCGCTGACTGGACACTTAACTCTTCTTGGCATCTTCACGATGCATTTTCATTCTTGATACGGACAGCCTCGAACCTCGTAAGGAGGCTGCTTATATGGGCCTCGGTGTGCCTGGGCCCCACCCCAGTCACGCCTCCCTTCGAGAACCCTCTTAAAGCCTCCCTGCTGTCCACGTGCCTCTGTCCAGCCGGGGTTACAGAGAGTGCCACGGCCTCACACCACCCCCGTGGCTGCCCGAGTCCAGAACCGGCCCTGACGTCATTCCCGCCTCCAGCCCGGATGACGTCATGTGTTTGCGTAGACCCGCATGGTAGTGACGCTCCCCCGCATAGTGACGTCAAATGTGTGCATGTGTGTGTGTACACAGTAGTGACGCTACTGATCACTACACTTACAATCCTGCGGAACCCGTCCAGTGGTCCAGACTGTTGTTATGATGTCATGGAGGGCAGTCTGTGCACAAACGCCACCCTCCCTCAGCATTTCACTTAGGATATCATCTCTGGCCGGTGCCTTTTACTGGTCTCAGACTCTGGATCGCCTTCAGTACTTCCTCAACAGATGGCGCCTCAGCCAGCCACTCACAGGGGGTGACTTCTTCCAATATTTGAGGAACTGCAGCTTCGGCAGGGTCATCCCCACTTAGTCCCACGTTGTTTTCCTGGCTGAGGGATTTCCCCTCCCCCAGGACCTCACAGAAATGCTCAGCAAATCTGCAAACCTGTTCCTGGGTGTCGGAAATTGGATCACCGTTCTTTCCACTAATGATGGTAATAGGTGTGGTGCTGCAGGTTACTTTTTTGATGGAATTAAAGAGCGATTTGTGATCGCGGGCCATTGATGCAGACTCTCTGCAACCTGCGACCACCACCCATCATTGCAGTGCCTTATAAGCTCTCCGAACCTCCGAGCG